GCGAGGACTGAAAGATATAAAAATTCTTTTGTTCCCCAATCTGTACGAATTTACCAGCGTGCTCCCCCCCCCCCAACCGTAAAGTCACAAATTTAAGAACTATTAAGTCCGTGATATGGCTTAGAGAGTAATTAAATTGCTGTTTTTTTTTCACTAGTGAAGTAATTTAATGTAGATGTCTCGTGTTCACATACTTTTAATTTATGTGCTGAAAATGTACAATGCAATTTAAAAAAAATGTTTCATTTGTTTGGATCAATAAAAGAATCTTATCTTATTTTAGAACACATTTACCAATATGAATTAAAGTAATTATTATTTACCTGCACACTTATTAATGAATACTTTCCCCTGATAAATTTCCCCAATGGCTTTTTAGAATCAACTGATCACCCATCAAACTGTCTGATCCCAACACGGTGGAGTGCTACAGAATCACTGAGGAGAAGCAAATGGTCTAAGATGTCAGATGTTTGGATGTTTGGTCCCTTGACTTATGAAGTGTTCACTCACGGTGGCCTGCCTTACTCCCATGTGGCTATTTATGATGCTGAGCTAACATTAAAGGTTATTTTAATATACATGTAAATTATAAATGTTCTTAAATATGCATACATAATTATGTAGTAGACGTGAACTCGTCTTGGGGCTCCGGTCGACAAGTATGTGGTTGGCTTGTCCATAAGGAGGCGTCGGCCACCTACCCCCTCGACGTTACCCAGGGCACGAGACCACTGTGGCGCGTTCTGCTTGGGTAGACAAGGGACGTGCTCGGTACCTGCCGTACGAAAGTAAGGGCATAAACAGGATAGGGATCATGATTACAACAAGTTGCCGTTAATGGATATGAGGCTAGAGGCGAAGGCGGTAACCTCTGGCCGATGATTCTTAATATGCAGCCATGGGAATCTGCTCCAAGGCAACCGTTTCATCCCAGCTACTTCGCGAATTAGTTGCGTCATGGAAACCCACTGTAGAAACCCTCTTATAGGGCGTCCAACGCTTCCCCCGGGATGGGTGGGGGAAGATATTAGGACATAAATTTACCATCCCGACTCCTGAGAAAGCATATCGTGTGAACTGTGTGCAAACTCAGAGTTGGACCGACCCGGGCATAAAGAGCATTTGCTCGACGGCCCACTGGCGCCATTTCTTAATGTGGAATTTTCAATAGATGTGAAGACTATAGATACATAAAAGTAATGATATTCATGTAATTTGAATAATATTTATTTTAGTTTTAAAGAGTTAATCATTTATGTTATTTCATTATTTATGCTTTATTTTATTGCTAAAGATTGTCAAGGGTTCCGTTCAGCTCAAACAAGAATCCTGCATCACAGATCAACTGTTTCACGTCATTTTAAAGTGTAGCTCTTTAGACCCACTGGAGAGACCACAAATATCAAAACTGAGGAAAATATTTGCTGAACTTGTCAAAAGTAATGAAATTTTAACCCTTAAATTTTAATGGACAATTATAGTTTGAAAAGGTGATGGACTTTTTTTTTTTTACGACAATATAAAAAAAATAATGACTGCGTAAAAATCATTTGATGGAGTTTTTCTTGAGTATGCTGGAAAGTTTAAGCCGCTAGCATTGTTGTCACAATAGGTTACAAACTCTATCAACATTGAAATTCTGGTGTTCATCAGTGATCATTATTGTTAGTTTTTGCTAGCATCGTTTCCTCATTATTTTAGTTGGTTCACAAGAGGTTTACAAAAAACATGTGCAAATAATGGTACTTTTTACGACATTAAATGTTACAGAAAAAAAAACTTTTGTATTTGTATTTAGACGATACTAATCAAATAATCTGAACAAGAAAAATACATTTTTAAAATCCTTTTTTAATTGCATAAATAGTTCAGTTTGGAATTCATTTATGCAATATTGTCTACTTTAGTGTAAGGGGCAATCTATTAGAGTAAAGGGCCATCCAAAATAGTAAGGGGCCATCCATAAATGACTTCATGCATTATGTTTTTTTTTTTTATATTTCGTTGGGGGGGGGGGCATCATGAATTTGTGACAAACTATTCTGGGGGGGGTCTATATTTTCTGACAAACTATTCTGAAAGGTGTCTATATTTTTTTAAAAACTATTCTGAAGGGTGTTATATTTTATGTTTTTTTTTTTTTATATTTCGTTGGGGGGGGGGGGCATCATGAATTTGTGACAAACTATTCTGAGGGGTGTCTATATTTTCTGACAAACTATTCTGAAAGGTGTCTATATTTTTTTAAAAACTATTCTGAAGGGTGTTATATTTTTTATCAAACTATTCTGAAGGTTGTCTATATTTTTTACAAACTTTTCTGAATGTTGTCTATTTTTTTGACAAACTTTTCTGAATGTTGTCTATTTTTTTGACAAACTATTCTGAAGGGTGTCTACATATTTTGACAAACTGTTCTGAAGGATGTATATATTTCTTGACAAACTATTCTGAAGTGTGTAGATATGTTTTGAAAAATCTATTCTAAATGGTTTTCATATTTTTTTGACAAAGTTGTGATGATTGTGAGGAAGGTAAAAATATATTATGTCGGCGACAATCATAGTAGACCCCCTGTTCCCCGAGATAGTCTTATTTTACCTTTTTAGTTTCTGTTGTGCCTGAATTAGTTTTATAAATGATAGTTTAAGGTGAAGAGTTATCTCACACAAAAATTTCCCTCCCAGTGACTTTTTATGATGCCGATAGTGTGTTAAATCAGTAGCCAATATCAAGGACCTAAGGGAAAACAATAAAACAATAATCACCAGTGGGTAAATACGTCGCTGATCACATGGTTGGTATTTCATCTAGGAGAAGGAAAGCTCAGTTAAAATAGCCAGCCCCGATGCTGATAGGACATTGACCTCAATGTGATTTCCACAGCTCCTGTATCAGCTCATTCCTTTAACTTGGGTCCACAAGCTGCATGGAAAGTTGGGATCTGCTGCATTTGACAACATCTGGTCTCAGTAACACACCTCCCTGGCTATGTAAAATAAATATAAGAACAAGGTATGCCAAACTTGAATTTATAGACAGGACAAAAGATTTTGACGTTTCTGCTTGGAGCCTTCGTCAGAAAACAAGACCAAAAAATGTATAACAAAATTCAGTTGACAGTTTAAAGAAAAAAAACGTTAGAGATTTCTTTTTGTTGTTGGACGTAGAGGAAATCTATAAAGTCATTTTATAATTTCAAGTTTGGCATAACTTGTTCTTAAATTTCTTTTACTCTTACACACGTTGAATGCAGTCCAGCGATTATTATCTTTTATTCCCTGGCTATGTAGCTGTACTGGAGAGTTGGCACTTGAGACTGACACCAAGTTGCCGCGTTAAATACATAGTAAACCATTTTCTACTCCCTCCACTACCAGAAATATGTTTTTGCTGGTGAGAGTAAATCAGAGAAAATGAATTTGAAAGTTTACTTACAACACTTAACAATTTAACGAATTCTTCATATTTCTCCATAATTAGAAGCTGACCAAGATGAATTTGGCAACCGTCCAGTTCAGCAAGAAGAAACTAGAAAACCTTCAATAAAATTCAAGAAAGTAAGATCCGTTGTACCACTCAATAACCTTGATACCGGTATTTAATATTGCCTCTTTAAAAGACTTTTTAAACAAATCTTTCATAACTAAACAAATCAATTCATAATTGATTAAAATTTCATCTTATTTGCATACTAATGTCATTATTTGTTCATTTGATTTCTACGTTAAAGTGGTAGCGATTTTCAGCCATATCATTCAATAATTAATTTGTGATAACCACTGGACATGTCAACACTGGGCTTTATTTCATTTCTTTTTTTGCTTTGTTTACAGGGAATCCCCTTTGTTAAATGTGAGTCTCTTTTTGGTTCATAGTTTTAAACAATATCTTTTCATTATGATAATTTTGTATGATAATTTTGTATGATAATTTTGTATGATAATTTTGTATGATAATTTTGTATGATAATTTTGTATGATAATTTTGTATGATAATTTTGTATGATAATACTAAAATTCAAAAAGAAACACTGAAATTGGCTTTAATATATTGTAGTTGGTGCGCTTACTGGTGGCTTTAAATAAGGCTTTTGTGAACAGAGTTAAATAACGTATACACTATTTTTATGATAACAAAAATCTATATAATGAATGGTTTTCATGTATGTCAAGGTTTTTTTATCATGTAATTTTTAATTATGTTTTTTTTTTACTTTGAATATTATACTATTATGTGTTGTATGCTTGGGGAATGGGGAATAATCAAAAAAAGAAATAAAATCATCGGGTCAAATGTGTAAAAATAAAACCAAACAAACCATTGAATTAAGAGACAATTTATTTAAAATTATAGACAAATTGGCACTGTTGACAATATATTATTGTTAAATGTAAAAAAATAAATAGTAAAGTTGCTTATTACATTATAACGATGTACTTTTTTTTTTAAAAAAAGATGACTACTTTAGGAACCAAGAACCGAAGTCCTGTACAAGGCCGCAAGCCACCATGCGTGTATCTAAAATAGTAATTGCTTTATTACTTTTTCGAAACAAAACTTTATTTAGCTTTTTTTTTTTTTAAACCAATGATTAAAAAAAAATAATGATTTCAATAAATTTTATCACTAGACTCTATGGCAAAGACTTTAATACCAGTGTTTTCACCATGCGTGTATCTAAAATAGTAATTGCTTTATTACTTTTTCGAAACAAAACTTTATTTAGCTTTTTTTTTTTTTTTAAACCAATGATTAAAAAAAAATAATGATTTCAATAAATTGTATCACTAGACTCTATGGCAAAGACTTTAAGTACAGTGTTTTCACTCCTCGCTACTGAACAAATTTTGCAATTTTTAATTTATTTTTTAGCTACATCGCAGTTTAGATAGTGACTATATTGTATTGCTTCCAACAGGAAGGTGAGCACCTTATCAAAGAATATGCAGACAGAGAATTCTCTGAGGACTTACTTGATCGGATCAACACGGGGGCGTTGGATTACCTCTTGCCATTCATCCATATCAACATAGAACAAAAAACAATGGTAAGGAGGACTTTGCTCTTCCCGGTTTAGGTAGAGAAAGGTCCTTCACTAACCAACTACTCTAGACATGCAAAGTTTTGCTGAATGGATGACGTTGGTTGCTGTGTTTGAGTTGTGGGATGTCGCTGTAGTTAGGATGTGCGGTGGTGTTGTTATTGGGAGATAAGATAGTGTTGTTATGGAAAATGTTAAATAAACCAAGCTGAGATTATCTAAGAAATTTTTTTTTTGATATTCAACTTTATTTTCCTCTGTGACTAACTCGTCCTGACCCCCTCAGCCTAACACCCGCTGTGACTACCTCAGCCTAACACACCGCGTAACACCCTCTGTGACTACCTCAGCCTAACACCCGCTGTGACTACCTCAGCCTAACACACCGCGTAACACCCTCTGTGACTACCTCAGCCTAACACCCGCTGTGACTACCTCAGCCTGACATCCCCCCTAACAACCTCTGTGACTACCTCACCCTAACAACCTCTGTGACTACCTCAGCCAAACACCCTCTGTGACTACCTCAGCCTAACAACCTATGTGACTACCTCAGCCTAACATCCTCTGTGACTACCTCAGCCAAACACTCTCTGTGACTACCTCAGCCTAACACCCCCTTTGACTACCTCAGCCTAACAGCCTCTGTGACTACCTCAGCCTAACACCCTCTGTGACTACCTCAGCCTAACTCCCTCTTTGACTACCTCAGCCTAACATCCTCTGTGACTACCTCAGCCTAACACCCTCTGTGACTACCTCAGCCTAACCCCCAGAGGTGTACTTGTGTGTAAACGGTCTTGTGTATTGTTGATGGAAATTATTGGGGACACTCGGCTCTAAAACTAAATAAGTATGTATTTTATTTTAGATTGTCAAAGTCTCTAGCTTTTCTATTTTCATTTTCCAAAGTCACTTATAGCTCATGATGGGCGTATATGTATTTTTACTTCACGTGAATGCTTCTTGCATAGGTGGACGCTGTATTTGTTGCTCTCAAGAATTTGGAGTCGTGGGTGGTAAAAATTTCAACAGGTTTTATCGTATCATCTGATGCTTTCTTTGAGATCGTCACACACTCCTCACTGAAGTTCTTTCATTCGTCTTTGTTTTGACATGTTTTATATGTTAACAAAAACTATTTTTTAACTTCAGGAAATCCAGTTGCCGTGTCCCAATATATGGAACTTATTTCAAGTTATTTCAAAAATGGAAGCTGGTGAAATGCAGAGCTTGCTGTACAAGATAGCTGTGATGATACAAAGAATGCATAAATCCAATTTCATATTCGGAGAGTTACGAGCCTCCCAAATCTATGTGGACAGTACTTGTGTTGGTAAAATGAGGGTAATTTCTTTTTAATGATTTTAACATAAGAAATGATACTAAAGATAGCTCTATGTTATTATTTTGTTTATATACCCTCTAAGACAGCGGCTCTCAACCTGTTGCTAGCGACACCTTTTGGGGGTCGCCTAAGACCATCGAAAAAACACATATACTCTACAGTTATAAAGTAGCAACGAAAACAATTTTTATGGCTGGGGGGTCGCCACAACATAAGGAACTGTATTAAAGGGGTCGCGGCATTAGGAAGGTTGAGAACCATTGCTCCAAGCTGTATTAAAAAAAAAATACTTGATTGTAAAGCGAATTTAAAATTCAATCCTATCATAAGTTGGGAAACATCCCCCCATTTTCAACTTTATATTTCTCAATACGTTTCAACATCGTTTTTGCTCTTCGTCCATTGTTTGTCTTAGTCACATGTCTGACCTTTACCTTTAACAATGGGTAAAGCACACTTTACTATCCACAACCCTTTTCACTGCTGTTCTCCATTGACAGGTCTTCCCGGTATCTTTAGCTTATCTGAATTGTGTGCCGGAGAAAAAGCGTCAGATACAGTTCACTGTTCCAAACGACCCAGTCTCTCGGGCAAGGTAGATCATTCTGAGTTTGCTAACGTTTAGAGCCTCAAAGCAGGTTTTATTTATAGAATCCTGTTATAGTGAGCCCTTAAGAATTGAATGATTGTTAATAATAACATATAAGTAAAAAAAAAAATAAAAAATAAAATAAGATTGAGATTTTATTGGGATGATCCAGATCTGAAATGTTTATTTTTTTTAAAAATATATTTTAAAAAACCAACAAAAAAAAAAGCGTTATATTAAAATGAATTGTATTCCACTGAATTAAGGTCAGCCCCAGAGATCAATCAACAGGGCATTTACTCCGTTGCTAGCGATGTTTACAGTTTTGCTGTTTTAGCCCTGGAGTTGTATGAGACAAAATGCCATGCCGAACAGCAGACTGTGCTCAATGCAGATATTGTGGTGAGATGGTTTTGTAAATTGAATGATGTAGTTTTTATCTAATTTATTTCATCTGTTCAGTTCTATTCCTTGTAAAAAAAATTTTAAAAAGAAGAAAATCATGTCTATGATTTACTAATCACATTTGAATCAAGTTTAATTATGTCATATTATTTTTATAATTTAAGCATGACAATAGCATTTTTTATCTCTTGGGAACAATAAAATAAAAAAGATAGTAAATTTTATGGAAAAAAAAAGATATTTGAATACAAAAATGTGGAATTCCTCCAAGATAAATAATGAATTGTCGGTTAGCCTTGAAATTATTTAGACCTTGATCATTACTACAGTAGAACCTCCTATGATATGAATAAATACACCAAAAATCTTATAACATCACTGAATTGTCATCCTTCAGCGAGAAGGAAAGATCAACCCTGACAATGTGAAAAAACCCAAGAAAATGCCCAAAAGGTCATTTGATGTCTTGAAGAAATGCCTGGCGCCAGCAGCATCGTCGAGACCCAGCGTGGCGGAGATAGTTTGGTAGGATATTTAGTTCGAATAGACCATATGAATAGACCATATGAATAGACCATATGAATAGACCATATGAATAGACCATATGAATAGACCATATGAATAGACATAATGATCTTATTTTTAAAAAAAAATATATCATAGGCTGATATATCAATGTTAGGGCAGAGATCTTCCTAAGCTTTACAGAAATATATATATATATAAAATATGTATACGGAATATTTAATTTTATATACCTTTTTTTGGTACAAGATAACCCAGTTCACATTTAATCTATTGATCTGTTAATATTTATTGTTAAAATATTCTCGTGGGTTGGTTGAAAACATTTCTTATAGCTTAGGATCAATGACAGACATATTCAATTCCACGCACTGAAACATTGAAAATCACCTCTGTATACATAGGAGTCAGAATGATCAATACATTGGTCACTGGCCCTTAATATATAGAAGAAGAAAAAGACACTTTTTATACCTTAAGATTTATAATAGAAATTTTTTTTTTAGCTCAGGATCAATGACAGACATTTTTTGGGGGATGGATCAAAGACAGACATTTCTTAAAATTTAGGATCAAAGACAGACATTTAGTGCATGCTAACTAAGCAAACCATTTAGTATAGTTAAATGAATTAGAATTTCAGGATTTAGAAAGAATTGCATTTCAAACAACTTATAAAAAATATTTGGTGATGTCCTATCTTCTTCTATTACATGAAATTACAAGCCATGTATTTCTATGTAACTCATTTCTAATTCAGTGTCCTGTCTTCGGATAAAACCTGCCCCACTGATTTCCTGAGCAGCGACTCAAGTTCAGATGTTTACCCTAACGACAATGACACCACCGGAAGTAGTGAGACGAGCTGCCCGAGAAAACGAAAAGTGAAAAGAACCAGTCCTCAGTGGTCGCCATTCGTGAGCCAAAAACTGACCAGAAGTTTGAGCAGTGGAGTCATCAATCCATCGCAGTCAGAGTCATCTGAAAACGATCACGAAAATCTCCGCCAACATGATACAAGAAAAGCGCTCAGCACGGAGCTCCAACCGGCCAGGAATCACGCAGGGTGGAGATATCAGGTTAAATCAAATCGAAACTCCAGTGACAGTCTTCACACACAGGCGGCTCGCCGTAGTGTCAACGTTCGATTAGACACGAGCTGTACGCAAGCTAAGGATGGCGCATGGGGGCACTCCTACTTCCAAGATTCACTTATGAATCCCAGCAGCAATGACGAATATGACGACGTGGCGCCTAAAACACCCCCAGTCACCCTCAGATCGAAGAAGCCCCTTCATAGAACACCCTCCATAGTTGTTCAATCCCAGGCAGCCGCGGGGAGAGGAGAAAGGAGATTTAACCGTGACAGTTATTTGCACATAACCAACTCAGACACCGAGGGGGAAGAAGCTAATAGCCATGGTAACACTCTACATGAAACACGTCTTATGCAATTCGAACATGTTTATGATCTCATAAGTGATAGTGATAGAGTAGATGAACAAACTGTTTATTTGGAGCCGTTCAAATTGCGCTGACATTCTGGTGCATATCCTTGGCAATTAAGAGAGAAAATCTGTTATTTAATAGCAAATTATGCTGTATAGATTATAATATTCAGTAGCATGCGAGAATTTCAATCAACCTATGAACCTATGCATTCGTTATAATTACGCCCGCATAATGGAAACGTTTTCTGAAAGGGGTTGAGAAAAGACCTTGACCTGATCCAGGCAACGGTGCTTTTATTTTTATTTTTCTCTTCTGGCATCCGCCCTTCACAATGTGACGATGGTTCAGACTTCAAAAGGGCTGGGAATCTTCTTAAGGAGGATAAGCGTGTTCCCTAGACTGCAGATCAGCTCTCTCGCCACGCACCAGGATAACCCAAAGGGAGCATCATGTGCGGAAGATTACTTGTCACCATGAGCGTCGCAGGGGGGGGGGAGGGGGTTGGTGGATGAATCATGTGCGTCTCTGGGTTTGATTTCAGGGTTTGCCTTCTCTTAGACTTCGATGAGCTGCCGTCCAAGGTTGTCGCGTACCATAACAGCTCTCTCGCCACGCACCAGGATAACCCAAAGGGAGCATCATGTGCGGAAGATTACTTGTCACCATGAGCGTCGCAGGGGGGGGGGAGGGGGTTGGTGGATGAATCATGTCCGTCTCTGGGTTTGATTTCAGGGTTTGCCTTCTCTTAGACTTCGATGAGCTGCCGTCCAAGGTTGACGCGTCCCATACACCCGCGGGGGTGGTAGGGATGTTTTCTTTTTGCTTGTCGAGGCTTTGGTGGGGATTGAACCCCCAGACCACCTGCTTTTTTGTTTTGGCTCAGTTTAGACCGCTCTAACCACTCAGCATCCAGCAGTGGTCCTGTCTAAGACTAGAAGAACATGGGAATTAAGCGTCTCCAGCCTACAATTTGACATGTTCCCAGATAGTATTGATTATATATATTATATTTCTCACACTGCCATACTCGTAAGCCACTTGTAAACAAAACCTCCTTCGTAATTTTTACAGTATATTGTAAGACTAAGTTACATTTATAAATAACTAGTTGCTGTAACTATCGACCTCTGCAGGGGGTGGGCGCAAACGTGTGTCGTGTCGTCGTCGTGCGCCACCCAAGTAGTTTGATAACATTTGGTAAAAATGCTTAAATTTTGTTTTACAATACTAAAATATTTTTATACCATTATATAAATATTGTTTTTAAAAATCTTAACAGTATATTTATATGAAAGCCCATTGATTTGCATCATCCGTGCTGGCTTAGTGTGTAGTGTAACATCATTTTACAATGCTTTTGTTGTGTACACTCTTAACAAGTTCCTGTAAAAAAAATAATTAAATAAACTTTTCTCCCCTCTGCAAAAACTTCTGCGTACTACCATGAATGCAACCCGGTGGTACCCGGGTATTGGTGGGAGACATATTTTTTTTAAAAGAATTTTTTTTCAAACAGGTAGGATCTGTATACATATATAAATATATATATTATGTAAATTTAATTTATACTTATTTGACTTTTTGTTGTACTGATGAAGGCATTAACCGAAACGTATACTTTTGTACTCTGTAAAATTATTATTAAACCTTACCTTATATTGTTCTATTGACACAAATTGTTGGTCTCTATTTAATCTAGGGCCAGTAGCTATGACCATCCCAAAGTTAGTGGCCATTCATTTAGTGGTTTAAAGATTTACTTAGGGTCAGTAGCTGTGACCATCCCAAAGTTGGTGGCCATCAATTTAGTGGTTTAAAGGTTTACTTAGGGTCAGTAGCTGTGACCATCCCAAAGTTGGTGGCCATCCATTTAGTGGTTTAAAGGTTTACTTAGGGTCAGTAGTTGTGACCATCCCAAAATTGGTGGACATCCATTTAGTGGTTTAAAGGTTTACTTAGGGTCAGTAGCTGTGACCATCCCAAAGCTGGTGGCCATCCATTTAGTGGTTTAAAGGTTTACTTAGGGTCAGTAGCTGTGACCATCCCAAAGTGGGTGGCCATCCATTTAGTGGTTTAAAGGTTTACTTAGGGTCAGTAGTTGTGTTCATCCCAAAGCTGGTGGCCATCCATTTAGTGGTTTAAAAGTTTACTTAGGATCAGTAGATGTGACCATCCCTAAGTTGGTTTACCTACAATACTTTTAGTGTACATTCAATACATGCTGTGTACATACAATATATGTGTACATGCTATATATGTGTTTAAATTACAATACATGTGGTTTACTTAAATGTGATTTACATAAAATACACAATACATGTGGGTTACATTCGATACATGTGGTGTACATACAATATATGTGTACATGCTATATATGTGTTTCAATTACAATTCATGTGGTTTACTTAAATGTGATTTACATAAAATACACAATACATGTGGCTTACATTCAATACATGTGGTGTACTTGTAATATATGTGGTCTAGGCTAGCATTCAGTTCAATATATTTTTATATGAATAAGTTTTACTGAATACAAACATTTTTTTAAAATAAGAATCAGGAGTTGTCCGTTTTGTTACTTTATTGTGATAGATCTAATGTGATGCTTTTATACCGATGATTTTTTATTCCTTATACCCGTTAGTAATGGCAAATATAATCTCTTGATGAATGTATATTTGTTTATTGAGAATTTCACTTATTTTGTGTTTAATAAATGGAATATATTTGTATGAAAAATTACATGTAAGTTGATTTTAAAAGTGTCTTTGAGTACATTCTTTTAGATAGATCTGTGTATATTTGAGTAGTACATTCTTTTAGTTAGATCTGTGTATGTTTGAGTAGTATATTATTTTAGTCAGATTTGTGTATGTTTGAGTAGTATATTCTTTTAGTTAGATCTGGTGTATGTTTTAGTAGTACATTATTTTAGTTAAATCTGGTGCATGTTTGAGTAGTACATTCTTTTAGTTAGATCTGTGTATGTTTGAGTAGTACATTCTTTTAGTTAGATCTGTGTATGTTTGAGTAGTACATTCTTTTAGTTAGATCTGTGTATGTTTGAGAAGTACATTCTTTAGTTAGTTCTGTGTATGTTTGAGTAGTATATTCTTTTAGTTAGATCTGGTGTATGTTTGAGTAGTACATTATTTTAGTTAGATCTGTGTATGTTTGAGTAGTATATTCTTATATTTAGATCTGTGTATGTTTGAGTAGTACATTCTTTATTTAGATCTGTTGTATGTTTGAGTAGTTCATTATTTTAGTTAGATCTGTGTATGTTTGAGTAGTATATTCTTTTAGTTAGATCTGGTGTATGTTTGAGTAGTACATTATTTTAGTTAGATCTGTGTATGTTTGAGTAGTATATTCTTATATTTAGATCTGTGTATGTTTGAGTAGTACATTCTTTATTTAGATCTGTTGTATGTTTGAGTAGTTCATTATTTTAGTTAGATCTGTGTATGTTTGAGTAGTATATTCTTTTAGTTAGATCTGGTGTATGTTTGAGTAGTACATTATTTTAGTTAGATCTGTGTATGTTTGAGTAGTATATTCTTATATTTAGATCTGTGTATGTTTGAGTAGTACATTCTTTATTTAGATCTGTTGTATGTTTGAGTAGTTCATTATTTTAGTTAGATCTGTGGATATTTGAGTAGTATATTCTTTTAGTTAGATCTGGTGTATGTTTGAGTAGTATATTATTTTAGTTAGATCTATGTATGTTTGAGTAGTACATTCTTTTAGTTAGATCTGGTGTATGTTTGAGTAGTAATATATTATTTTAGTTAGATCTGTGTATGTTTGAATAGTACATTCTTTTAGTTAGATCTGGTGTATGTTTGAGTAGTATATTCTTTTAGTTAGATCTGTGTATGTTTGAGTAGTACATTCTTTTAGTTAGATCTGGTGTATGTTTGAGTAGTATATTCTTTTAGTTAGATCTGTGTATGTTTAAGTAGTACATTCTTTTAGTTAGATGTGGTGTATGTTTGAGTAGTATATACTTTTAGTTAGATCTTGTGTATGTTTGAGTAGTATATTCTTTTAGTTAGATCTGTGTATGTTTGAGTAGTACATTCTTTTAGTTAGATCTGTTGTATGTTTGAGTAGTACATTCTTTTAGTTAGATCTGTGTATGTTTGAGTAGTACATTCTTTTAGTTAGATCTGGTGTATGTTTGAGTAGTACATTCTTTTAGTTAGATCTGTTGTATGTTTGAGTAGTACATTCTTTTAGTTAGATCTGTTGTATGTTTGAGTAGTACATTCTTTTAGTTAGATCTCGTGTATGTTTCAGTAGTATATTCTTTTAGTTAGATCTGTGTATGTTTGAGTAGTATATTCTTTTAGTTAGATCTGGTGTATGTTTGAGTAGTATATTCTTTTAGTTAGATCTGTGTATGTTTGAGTAGTACATTCTTTTAGTTAGATCTGTTGTATGTTTAAGTAGTATATTCTTTTAGTTACATCTATGAATGTTTGAGTAGTACATTCTTTTAGCTAGATCTGGTGTATGTTTTAGTAGTACATTCTTTTAGTTAAATCTAGTGCATGTTTGAGTAGTACATTCTTTTAGTTAGATCTGTGTATGTTTGAATAGTACATTCTTTTAGTTAGATCTGTGTATGTTTGAGTAGTACATTCTTTTAGTTAGATCTGTGTATGTTTGAGTAGTACATTCATTTAGTTATATCTGTGTATGTTTGAGTAGTCTATTTTTAGTTAGATCTGGTGTATGTTTGAGTAGTACATTCTTTTAGTTAGATCTGTGTATGTTTGAGTAGTACATTCTTTAGTTAGTTCTGTGTATGTTTGAGTAGTATATTCTTTTAGTTAGATCTGTGTATGTTTGAGTAGTATATTCTTATATTTAGATCTCTGTATGTTTGAGTAGTACATTCTTTATTTAGATATGTTGTATGTTTGAGAAGTACATTCTTTTAGTTAGGTATGAGGATATTTGAGTAGTATATTCTTTTAGTTAGATCTGGTGTATGTTTGAGTAGTACATTCTTTTAGTTAGATCTATGTATGTTTGAGTAGTACATTCTTTTAGTTAGATCTGGTGTATTTTTGAGTAGTATATTCTTTTAGTTAGATCTGTGTATGTTTGAGTAGTACATTCTTTTAGTTAGATCTGGTGTATGTTTGAGTAGTATATCCTTTTAT